GGTGAATTTTTTTCTCTTCCATAGACGTCCTGCACGTTCCATTTTTTCCTCTTCACAAAAGTTATCTGCATTTTGCAGTGGACGATCAACATTACCAATTTGTCTGCGCTTAGGCCTGTCCATGATCCCCCATTTTTTTCACCAAGGTTCTTGCACTTTTCCTAGTTCTCCGTCTTCAGGAAATACAAGTTGTGGGTTACCTAGATCAGTGGTCGGCAAGCCGCGGTCGCGAGCCACATGCGGCTCTTTACACACTTCAATGCGGCTCTTCTGTGTGCCGGACCTTTTAATCCGGCCCGCGGAGTGTGGCAAACATTGGCTGTCAGGATGTAGGCGGGGCAGCGTGACGAACTCCTCTCCTCTCACAGTCCGCCCTGAAGACTGGAACGGCGTGGGAACACGGCGAGAGGAACGCGCAGAGCAAAGGTAAGTGAATTGACACAATATGGGGGATGAATTACTATGGGGGATGAATTACTATATGGGGGATGTATTACTATATGGGGGATGTATTTTCAGTTTTAAAAATGTGGCTCTCAAAATAAATTTCAATCGTGGTTTTTTGGCGAGATTTGGCTCAGTTGAAAAAAAAGGTTGCCCACCACTGACCTAGATGATCTTCTGTTAAAGGATCAATCCTTCCGATCTCTGTCAGACAATGTCCAGTGCAGAGACTGAGAGTTGTATCTCCACCTGACAAACTTCTGTCTCTCTGATCTAGTGCTAGCAACCTAATTTATGCCTCTGTGAGGGTCTTGGGCCTGATGGTAGCCTCCTTTGAGGCAGGGCTGTATATCCAGTTTCACTCCACAACATTCTGACAAACAATCTTGGTCCCCGAACCACTCCATGCATCTGACCTGCATGCCGACATGATGAAATTCCTACCTGGTGCTAGAGTCAGATAAATGCTTGCCACCGAGGATATGGAAAGTTGTCACAAAAGATCTCAGCCTTTCGGACTTCCCTCTCATTGCAGGGGACTTGGTTGTCCCCTGTAACATCCCGGAACTAAGGATGATTTGATTGTCTATTCTATGCTGAACCCCTCAGATGTGAGGTCAGCAGACAGAAATCCAGTCAGACAATGCCATGGCCTACATTAACCATCTTGAAGGCACCAGAAGTCATGCTGCTTAATGGGAAAGCAGACTTTATTCTGTCGTGGCAGAACTGCACATTCCTGCCCTTTCTGCTGTCTATATCTCAGGCATGGAAATTTGGCACCTGGACTTCTCCATTGTCAGGGTCTGGATCCGCTAGAATGGGCTCCCCACCCAAGGGTGTTCCAAGTCTTTTGCCACAGGTGGGGGGCACTAAATGTGAATCTTCTGGCATCCAGGTTCAACAAAAAACTGGACACGTTTGTGACACATTCCGGGAGATCCTTGGGTCTTCACAGTGTATTCTCTGTGGGATCAGTTCCACCTGATCTGTGCCTTTCTGCCTCTCCAGCTTCTCCCTTGTTTGCTTCGCAAGATCGATATGGAGAGTTCCCTCATCACACTAGATTGGCTCAAGAGAACCTTTTACTCAGAAGCACTCAGACTCGTGGAAAACTCTCTCTGGGCCCTTCCAGACCACCTGGCCATTCTGTCCCAATGGTAAGCCCCACCATCCTGCTTCTTGGTTGCTGGCTTAAGTAGTATAGATGTTGAAACCCAAGTCCCAAGGGACAGGGCCTTATCAGATTTGGTCAACCCCTTTTGAAGGCCAAGTTGTCAATTCCATCTGCAAATCCTATTTTGCCTGGTGTAAGACAAGGAAATTTCACTCTAGGAAGTACTCCATGGGACTCACCCTGTCCCTCCTCCGATTTGGTGTAGATCAGCATCTGTCCTTGAGTACCATCAAAGGGCATATCCCTGCCCTGGCAGTTCTGTTTCAGAGCTCGTTGAGAATTCATTGCTTAGTTAAGGCTTTTGTTGAGGGTGTCAAACAAATCTCCCCAGTGACTCTGCATGACCTTAATCTGGCTCTTTTGACCCTTCAAATGCCACTTTTTGAACCTGTTAGGAATGTTCTAGTGTCTATACCCACATGGTGGCCTTTCTCGTTGCTATTACCTTCATGAAGAGGACAGCCTTATCCTTTAAAGAGCCTTTCCAAGTGTTACACAAGGACATGGTTGTCCTGAGGCCCGAAGCCTTTTTTCTGTCCAATGAGGTTTCCTGTTTCCACCTCAACTTGGAAACATCCCAGGGAAATATCTGTCTAAAGTCTTGAAGAAGAACACGCTGTGAAATTCAGCTAAAGACACTTTTAGACAATTGGATTCTCTCCTTGTTCTTCCCGAGCGTTCCTGCAGACGACTCCCTACGTCTTGCTCCACCATTCCTGGGTGGATTAGACAAGTCACCATTGAAGCTTATGGTCTGAATGATTTGGCTTCCTCCCTTCCCTGTTAGGAAGACCTTTACCAGATCTGGTAGTGCTTCATAGGCTTTCCAGCACCGGGCGTCTGTTTCTTAGATTTGTAAGGCTGCCACCTGGGCTTTTGTTCCATCGTTTGTTGAGTTCTACCAGCTGAATGTTCAGACCTATTCTAAAGCCAATTTCGGGTGTAAGGTGCTACAAGCTGCCTTCTGATCTTGACCAGTTTTCTATGTGTGCACCTGTTGGTGAGGAGGATTCTGGGAGGTCACATGACATCACTCTCAGCTCTATTAATAAAACACAGACTTGACCGGAGAGGTGTGGAGGATTCTGGGAGATCACATGACATCACACAGACCTGACTGGAGAGGTGAGGAGGATTCTGGGAGGTCACATGACATCACACAGACCTGACCGGAGAGGTGAGGAGGATTCTGGGAGGTCACATGACATCACACAGACCTGACCGGAGAGGTGAGGAGGATTCTGGAAGGTCACATGACATCACACAGACCTGACCGGAGAGGTGAGGAGGATTCTGGGAGGTCACATGACATCACTCTCATCTCTATTAATAGAACACAGACCTGATCAGAGAGGATGTCAGTGTCTATGAAGGAGTAGGAGTATTTACAAGGACCTCTACAAGGACATCATGATGAACAATCAGCCGCATCTCACATCACCGGGTAAGAGAAAACTTTATTGGAAAGGAGAGAGCAGTACGGAGGATCCACCTAGATCCCCCATCAACTGATAAACACATAGAAACAATGGATTCAGTCAGTGTGTGTGTTTCCTACAGATGGATCCAGTCATGGGAACCCACCAGAGAGATGTCCCCGTCCTCTGTATTCCTGGGATTCCACACAGGAAGGTCACACCATCCCTCACCATCATCAGGTAGATGAGGAACTATAATTTGTAGTTGTGATTTATACACAGCAGGTTTGTAACAATGTATTTTTTATTAAACATTTAGAGTGGAAACCTCAGGGATTATAATATTATTGTTAAAGAAGAGCACACAGAGGAGGATGAGGAGTATGGAGTGATGGAGAAGCTCTCAGAAGGACACAAGGATATGATGGAGCCACCTAATACCAGCAACCCACCAGAGAGATGTCCCCATCCTCTGTATTCCTTGGATTCCACACAGGAAGGTCACACCATCCCTCACCATCATCAGGTAGATGAGGAACAGTCACTGATAGTTATGATTTATACACAGCATGTTTGTTACAATGAATGTTTTATTATAAATTCAGACTGGAATCCTCGGGGATTATAATATTGTTGTCAAAGAAGAGTATAAAGAGGAGGATGAGGAGTATGGAGTGATGGAGGAACTTTCAGAAGGACACAAGGATATGATGGAGCCACCTAATACCAGGAACCCACTAGAGATATGTCCCCGTCCTCTGTATTCCCGGGATTCCACACAGGAGGACACTCCTACAGAGATCAGCACAGGTGGGTCATGAACACTAAATCCATGCAAGAACCAGCTGGACATTTTTATATCGTATGATGTGATTGGAGCACAGACGTTTGCATGGTGATAATAATGTGATCACATCCTGCAACCAGAAATTGCTGATGGGGGAGGAGCCAATACCCCAATGATGGTGGTTTTCAGGATGGGGGAGAAGCCAATACCCCAATGATGGTGGTCTTCAGGATGGGGGACAAGCCAATACCCCAATGATGGTGCTCTTCAGGGTCAGGATGGGGGAGGAGCCAATACCCCAATGATGGTGGTCTTCAGGGTCAATATGGAGGAGAAGCCAATATACCAGTGATGTTGGTCTTCAGGGTCAGGATGGGGGAGGAGTCAATACCCCAATGATGGTAGTCTTCAGGATGGGGGAGGAGCCAATAACCCAGTAATGGCGGTCTTCAGGATGGGGGAGGAACCAATATAGCCCAACGATGGTGGTCTTCAGGATCAGTCCAGTCTTTCTTTTGGCTGTCCTCCCCCCATCCTCACTCTCTGATCTCTGGTGGGGCTCCTGTCTAGTAATCCTCTTTGTCTTTGTATTTTAGTCCATGGCCGGGAGATGAGTAAAACCTCCGAGGATTGTCTCACTTTGTCTCCAGACTGGAAAGTAGAAGATGAGGACATCACACAGTATAGTCCAAGAGAAAACCCGGCTCCCTCCAATGTCCATCCGGCACCACCCAGTGTAGATGGACCATCGGATTCCTCGTATCCTGAGGACCCTCAGACTGTGCGGGACCGGGCCGGCCTTCCAACAGGGAAGAGCTTCTCCTGTCCTGAGTGCGGGAAGGGTTTCCGTTTCAAATCTGGTCTTAATGAGCATAAAAGAACTCATACAGGAGAGAAAGCCACATTGTTGCTCTGAGTGCGGGAAATGTTTTTCAAAGAAGTCCAATCTGTCCATCCATCAAAGATCTCACACGGGGGAGAAGCCGTATTCCTGTTCTGAGTGCGGGAAATGTTTTTCAGTGAAGTCCTTTCTTTATAATCATCAGAGGTCACACACGGGAGAGAAGCCATTTTCCTGCCCTGTGTGCGGGAAATTTTTTTCAAATAAGTGGTATCTTTCCATACATCAGAGATGTCACACTGGAGAGAAACCATTTTCCTGTCCTGAGTGCGGGAAATGTTTTTCAGATAAGTCCAATCTTTACAATCATCGGAGATTGCACACGGGGGAGAAGTTGTATTCCTGTTCTGATTGCAGTAAATATTTTGTACAAAAATCAGACCTTGTCACACATCAGAGGTCACATACCGGGGAAAAGCCATTTTCTTGTTCTGAGTGTGGGAAATGTTTTTCAAAGAAATCCAGTCTCAGCAGACACCAAAGGTCTCACACAGGTGAGAAGCCGTATTCCTGCTCTGAGTGCGGGAAATGTTTTTCAAAGAAGTCCAATCTCTCCATCCATCAGAGATCTCACACAGGGGGAGAAGCCATTTTCCTGTGCTGAGTGCGGGAAATGTTTTTCAGATAAGTCCTTTCTTTATAATCATCAGAGATTGCACACAGGCGAGAAGGCACATTCCTGCCCTGTATGCGGGAAATTATTTTCAAAGAAGTCTTATCTTACCGTACATCAGAGATCTCACACAGGAGAGAAGCCGTTTCCCTGTCCTGAGTGCGGGAAATGTTTTTCCGATAAGTCCAATCTCTACAAACATCAGAGATTGCACACTGGGGAGAAGTCACGTTCCTGTCCCGAGTAAGGGAAATGTTCGTCACTGAAGTCCTGTCTTCCTGGACATCAGGGTTCCCACAGAACCCTGGAGGTGTATTAGTGCCTTGAGTGCGGGAAATGTCTTCTAGATGAATGTTGCTGGACATCCCAGCTCTCACGTGGAAAAGAAGCCCCCCCCCTGCTATACACCTCAGATATACTCCATGGCTGATCATCATGGAAAAGACAGTTCATAAGGAGGTCAGAGGTCACCAAAGACGTGGATGAAGTGTGGGACTGGGTTGGCCATTGATGGCAGAAGAAGAATAAAAATGGCGTCCTCACCTGTCATTGGCTGAGTGCATTTTGTGGTCTAACCATTCACAAACACATAGAGGTCTGTTTTTGGATAAACATGACAAGCATTCCTCCATTTTGCAGATTAACCTGACTTCCAGCAGAAAAGATCATCAGAATCTGGAAGCCCCCTTTTAATAATAAGATACTGATCCCCACTGACCTTATGGGGTACATACAGGCCGGGCTGGGACAAAGAATAGGCCCGGGTACTTTACACTCAGCAGCCAATCTTTCCGGGGGGTGTCGGGGGATGAAGGTAAGGGGGTTCATGGGGGCGGTTGGTGACAGAGTATTCATGGAGTTGGTCCTTCACACTAATATAAAGGGCGCGCTGTGATATTAAGGAGACTGCAATGTAAACGGGCATTTTCTAGCAAAGAGCCATCCCATCCAGCAAAGAGCCATCCCATCCAGCAAAGAAACATCCCAATCCAGCAAAGAAACATCCCAATCCAGCAAAGAGCCATCCCACTCCTGCAAAGAGCCATCCCAATCCTGCAAAGAGCCATCCCAATCCTGCAAAGAGCCATCCCAATTCAGCAAAGAGCCATCCCATCCAGAAAAAAGAGATATCCCTCTATAGCAAAGAGCCATCCCAATCCAGCAAAGAGCCATTCCCGTATAGCAAAGAACCATCCCAATCCAGCAAAGAGCCATCCCATCCAGCAAAAGGACATCCCCGTATAGCAAAGAGCCATTCCATCCAGCAAAGAAACATCCCAATCCAGCAAAGAGCCATCCCTCTATAGCAAACAGACATCCCAATCCAGTAACGAGACATACCTCTATAGCAAAGAGACAGCCCAATCCAGCAAAGAGACATCCCCCTATAGCAAAGAGACAACCCCATATAACAAAGAGAGAGCCCCATCCAGCAAAGAGCCCCATATAACAAAGAGACATCCCAATGCACAAAATAGATATCTCAATTCAGCAAAGAGATATTCCATCCAGTAAAGAGACATCCAAATCCACCCTGCACCACTGCTACAAAGCGGGATTGTTTTGCTGTCACAGTGTGCTGGCCAGCGAAGGAGAGAGGCGGCTGTTGTCCCTTCAGTGTCACTGTATCTGCCACGGCCGGCCCAGGAGGTGTGTATCCCCTGCAGGCACTTTCTGTTTTCAGCTCGAGCCATCTCTGCCACTCCTCCTGTTGGCCCTACTTTAGGCATAGCTGCATGGGAGTGGTGGTTGCGGCCAGTTAGCCCCATTCAGACCGCAGTTGCCGCTTACCTCCCGCTGTGCGGCCCAGTCATCAACAGGCTGGCTGCTCTTCCTAGGCCATGTGGCCTGACTGCCCTGGCCCACCTGACAAATGCCCGGTGTGCCCTATGATGGTCAGTCCGGGCCTGGGTACATAGTACCTGAAGGCAGCACTAGTCAAATGATGGCTCCCGGATCTGTTATCAGTTCTAAAAGGGAAGGGGCGGGCATAGTGGTGACATTGTTTAGTGGCCACATTTGGGCAGTTAAGTCACTTGACTTGACTAACATGGCTGGGATTCCCAGTGAGGTTAGTAGTTTCTTAGGGACATGGCGGGTGCGAGAACCAGCTCCTTCCATAGATATTAGTGACAGCAGGAAGAAGTAAAAGAAATGTCGCTTCTGTAAACGATGCATGGCTCAATCTGAACAGGGGGGGCAAAAAAGCCAAAAGTCTGTTCGATCTGCTCACCCCTACCTTTTAACCTTCTAAAAACTGGACAAGGAGCTCATCCCTAGTGGTCAGTGTAGTGGTCCATTACATTGGTGACCAATGGGAGAAGGACCCCCTTATATCAGTGGTCAGTGTAGTGGTCCCTTACATTGGTGACTGATGGGAGAAGGGCCCCCTTATATCAGTGGTCAGTGTAGTGGTCTGGTGCACCATGCAAGATCTCACCTCGTGGAGTGTCAATGATCATGAGAACAGTGAGGAATCATCCCAGAACTACACGTGAGGATCTTGCCACTGATCTCCAGGCAGCTGGGACCAAAGTCACCAAGAAAACAATTGGTAACACACTACACCGACAAGGACTGAAATCCTGAAGAAAGCACATGTCCAGGCCCGTCTGAAGTTTGCCACTGAACATCTGAATGATGCAGAGGACTGGTTGGAAGTGTTGTGGTCAGATAAGACCAAAATCCAGCTCTTTGGCATCAACTCAACTCGCCGTGTTTGGAGGAGGAGGAATGCTGCCTATGACCCCAAGAACACCATCCCAACTGTGAAACATGGTGGTGGAAACATTCTGCTTTGGGGGGGGGGGGGTTCTGCTAAGGGGACAGGACAACTGCACCGCATCAAAAGGGACGATGGACGGGGCAATGTACCATCAAATCTTGGGTGAGAACCTTCTTCCCTCAACCAGGACATTGAAAATAGGTCCTGGATGGGTGTTCCAGCATGACAATGACCCAAAACACACAGCCAAGGCAACAAAAGGAGTGGCTCAAGAACAAGCACATTAAGATCCTGGAGTGGCCTAGCCAGTCTCCAGACCTTAATCCGATTGAAAATCTGTGGAGGGAGCTGAAAGTTTGAGTTGCCAAACTTCAGCCACCAAACCTTAATGACTTGGAGAGGATCTGCCAAGAGGAGTGGGCCAAAATCCCTCCTGAGATGTGTGTGAACCTGGGGGCCAACTCCAGGAAACGTCTGACCTCTGTGATTGCCAACAAGGGATTTGCCACCAAGTACTAAGTCATGTTTTGTGAAGGGGATCAAATCCTTATTTCCCTCATGAACATGCAGATCAGTTATCATTTGTTAGACATGCATTTCTGTTGAATTTGTTGTTGCTATTCTGTCTCTCAGTGTTACAATACACCGAACATTCGATTTTTAGACCGATCATTTCTTTGTGAGTGGGCGAACATTCAACATCAGGGGAGCAAATACGCATTTTCTTCACTGTGTATATTTGGACATTCCAGCCTTCAAGCAAAGCATCAGAAAGGAGGAAACACAGTTTTTGGTCATGCCCATGGGTTCCAGACTTCAGGCAGTCATTGCCAGTAAAGTATTCTCAACAAAATACTAAAAATGAACATTTTATTTCTGATTATATTCAATTGTCCAATTACATTTGAGGGAGGGGCTGTGTATAAAAATGGTTGCAGTTCTTAACATTTGTACTTGATATTTATGTTCAACCCCTGGAATTAAAGCTGAAAGTCCGCAATTCACATTCATTTGGATTGTTTCGTTTTCATTTATTCTGGTGGCATACAGAGCCAAAACTATGAAAATTGTGCCTGAGTCCAAATATATATGGACCGAACTGTATTCCATATATTTTGGACTTAGAAGTCCTATTGTGTATGTAGTGATACCCCCCGAAGAGTTGTTGATTGCAGAGTATTGGAAATTATCCCGAACGAGCCCCCACATGTAGCGATCCCCCCGAAGGGGCTGCTTAAGTTTGTTCACTCTGCCTCTCAACCCCAAGAACTGTCTCAGCCCCAACTGACACACCTGGCAATAGTGTAAGTACAAGGACCAATGAAAAGCACCCATGTTATAATAAACACAGATCAGCATTACTGTAAGACCTCTATGGGAAGTAATAAACATGAACAACAGGTATACAGTCAGGTCCATAAATATTGGGACATCGACACAATTCTAACATTTTTGGCTCTATACACCACCATAATGGATTTCAAATGAAACAAACAAGATGTGCTTTAACTGCAGACTGTCAGCTTTAATTTGAGGGTATTTACATCCAAATCAGGTGAACGGTGCAGGAATTACAACAGTTTGCATATGTGCCTCTCACTTGTTAAGGGACCAAAAGTAATGGGACAATTGTCTTCTCAGCTGTTCCATGGCCAAATGTGTGCTATTTCCTCATTATCCCAATTACAATGAGCAGATAAAAGGTCCAGAGTTCATTTCAAGTGTGCTATTTGCATTTGGAATCTGTTGCTGTCAACTCTCAAGATGAGATCCAAAGAGCTGTCACTATTAGTGAAGCAAGCCATCATTAAGCTGAAAAAACAAACCAATCAGAGAGATAGCAAAAACATTAGGCATGGCCAAAACAACTGTTTGGAACATTCTTAAAAAGAAGGAATGCACCGGTGAGCTCAGCAACATCAAAAGACCTGGAAGACCACAGAAAACAACTGTGGTGGATGACCGAAGAATTCTTTCCCTGGTGAAGAAAACACCCTTCACAACAGTTGGCCAGATCAAGAACACTCTTCAGGAGGTAGGTGTATATGTGTCAAAGTCAACAATCAAGAGAAGACTTCACCAGAGTGAATACAGAGGGTTCACCACAAGATGTAAACCATTGGTGAGCCTCAAAAACAGGAAGGCCAGATTAGAGTTTGCCAAACGACATCTAAAAAAGCCTTCACAGTTCTGGAACAACATCCTATGGACAGATGAGACCAAGATCAACTTGTACCAGAGTGATGGGAAGAGA